CTTTTAAAAGGTTGACTCATGTTTTAAGATCTAAACACTTAGAAACCATTTATAATGCCTTCATTTTGAGTCGAATTGACTATGGTGATATCTTATATTCTAGTGCTCCTGAATTATCTTTGATTAAGTTAGACAGACTTCAATATAATGCAGCTTGTTTGATAACTGGCGCTCTGCATGGCTCTAGCACTCAGAAGGTGTTAGATATTTTAAATTGGACAAAGTTACCAGATAGAAGAAAATCTCATTTATGTACTTTTCTTTTCAAAAGCAGACATAATTTAATAGCACCATATGTAAGTCAAGTTTTCAATGGTTGCAGAAATATTCCAACTCGAACTCTAAGAGCTTTCAGAGAATACAATATTCCTTTAGATATAAGTAAAAGGTTTGAGAAATCTACTTTCTATGCAGCAATTGAAACTTGGAATACTTTACCTGATGATATAAGAAATTGTGAGCGAATTTCAATTTTTAAACGCAGGATCAAGGCACATTTTGAAAATTTCAATGGTACAAATTTCATAACTTATAGTAATGTTAAAAGGAAAAATGAAGTTTCATTTAATAGACTCAGAGTAGATCTTTATTTGAAAAGCCAGCTTTTTGCACATAATTTTAACAACGTGCCTTCACCAGAATGTGCCTGTGGTCGGATTGCTAAAGTGCATTTTTAGATTGTAATTCTTCTGATAAAATAGACATGCTTTTATTTGGTCACCCTGATTTTGATGATAATACTAATATTTTAATAATCAAAGCAAGTGTTTCATTTTTGCAATCCACCAAAGACCTACTGGACCCGTAACCAAACTCTACACATTAAGCACACAACTTGACCATTTTAAATAAAATAATGAATCTTTCTTTGTAAAGTAAAAATTTATGAATGTAACTACATTAAGGTTTTTAGTTTGACAATAATGTTACTAATGTAACCTAGTCAAACGTTATTATTGTATTATTGTATGTATAGTATATATTTGAAATAAATGATTATTAAAAAAAAACAAAAACAAGAAGTGATCAAGATATTAGTTCAACTATTTTGGATAGCTAATTATGCATTTATAGATATAATGTCAGAAAATAACGACATTCAATGTTGTCGTCGACAAGGTTGGAACCCTGAATGCCAATCCTCCTTTCGAAAGCAAGGAGGATTGGCATTCAGGGTTCCAACCTTGTCGAGCCAATTCATCCCTTACTTGATTTCGCCAAACAACAAAATTTGAATAAATAAATAAACAAGCACTCTAATACTACACTAAGCTGTCGCTTGAGTTTTTTCCTCTTCGCTAACACTGCCAACATTATTATTGTATCTTAAGTCATAGTTTAATTTAACATTACAAATATATTTGATGTTTTTCTTTTGCTTTTATTCATTAATTAGTTCTTGTGTACGGATACGCGTGATAAATTGTTTTGTTGTTAGTTTCCATGGTAATCTCAATTGATCAATTCCTTATCTGTTCCTCTTTGATTAAGTCATTGATTGATTCAATACTGGTGATGTCAGGCTACTAATAATTATGAATGAATTCATCCGTTCTTGTTTCACTTGCGTGCTTCTAGTCACTTAAATTGATCGTAATTAAGTACGTCAAACGTAAATTCATGCACCAAACCGTTGCAAACTTGTAATTTTGAGAGCTTCAGCCATGTTTATTTTTAAGTCTCGCTCCAAAAATAACATGGTAGAAAACTGACAATATATACACTCCCCTCCATAAGTTTGGCAACCTTTTTTCCCCCATTGAACTACGTGTTAAAGCCTCTTTACCTTTGAATTTTTATTTACTTAACCTGCGATGAAAATACTTATACTATTGATGGAAACGTAATTTGACTTTAATTCCAATACCTCCAAATTTTCTCAATTTTTTTCCTCAATTACAATAGGTCGAAAATTGATGATAAATTTGATGAATTTTTGAAAATCGACATTTCCATGTTAACCAATGGGAAATGGTAGGTTTGCCGCAAGTCATATGACAGAATATCCATCCATCCGAGTCCTTGCAAAAATACGAGTTAGGCAGGCAATTGAATTTGCTAACTTTATTTAACAAAAAATTGATATGTTTCTTCAGGTTCAACAAAGTTATAGGGCTTTAAAGTCAAAATTGTTTTTCAAAAAACCTCTCCCATTGAAATAACACAGGAGGCGAAAAATTATTTTCAAAAATGACTTTGAAGCGCTGTAACTTTAATATTCATCAAATAAACTTATCACTTAGTGTTCAAAAAAGTTAGACAATTCAATTTTCTATGTAAAAATATTTTTTTGCTGAATCTTTTACTGAAAAGATATCCTGATTTCTGATTTGCCCCGAACCCTCCATTTCCCATTGGATTACATGGGAATGACGATTTTCAAAAATTCATCAAATTTATCATCAATTTTCGACCTATTGTAATTGAGGGGAAAAAATGAGAAAATTTGGAGGTATTGGAAATAAAGTCAAGTTACGTTTCCATCAATATTATACACTCCCCTCCATAAGTTTGGCAACCTTTTTTCCCCCATTGAACTACGTGTTAAAGCCTCTTTACCTTTGAATTTTTATTTACTTAACCTGCGATGAAAATACTTATACTATTGATGGAAACGTAATTTGACTTTAATTCCAATACCTCCAAATTTTCTCAATTTTTTTCCTCAATTACAATAGGTCGAAAATTGATGATAAATTTGATGAATTTTTGAAAATCGACATTTCCATGTTAACCAATGGGAAATGGTAGGTTTGCCGCAAGTCATATGACAGAATATCCATCCATCCGAGTCCTTGCAAAAATACGAGTTAGGCAGGCAATTGAATTTGCTAACTTTATTTAACAAAAAATTGATATGTTTCTTCAGGTTCAACAAAGTTATAGGGCTTTAAAGTCAAAATTGTTTTTCAAAAAACCTCTCCCATTGAAATAACACAGGAGGCGAAAAATTATTTTCAAAAATGACTTTGAAGCGCTGTAACTTTAATATTCATCAAATAAACTTATCACTTAGTGTTCAAAAAAGTTAGACAATTCAATTTTCTATGTAAAAATATTTTTTTGCTGAATCTTTTACTGAAAAGATATCCTGATTTCTGATTTGCCCCGAACCCTCCATTTCCCATTGGATTACATGGGAATGACGATTTTCAAAAATTCATCAAATTTATCATCAATTTTCGACCTATTGTAATTGAGGGGAAAAAATGAGAAAATTTGGAGGTATTGGAAATAAAGTCAAGTTACGTTTCCATCAATATTATAAGTTATTTCATAGCCGGTGAAGTAAATAAAAATTCAAACGTAAAGAGGCTTTAACACGTAGTTCAATGGGGAAAAAAGGTTGCCAAACTTATGGAGGGGAGTGTAAGTTATTTCATAGCCGGTGAAGTAAATAAAAATTCAAACGTAAAGAGGCTTTAACACGTAGTTCAATGGGGAAAAAAGGTTGCCAAACTTATGGAGGGGAGTGTATGTGTTACCTAGGCCATACACAATCCGAAATATATCTCCCGTTTAAATATAATAAGTTGAGAGTAAATGCGATATTAATCGATATAATAAAAACTGTATATAGCACAATTAATGATTGGAACCAAATATGAATAATATCCGTCCGTGACTGTGTGCAAAACTTTTGGGTCAGCCCTTGTTTAGAAATGTTCTCGGAGTGACCAGCAGCTGGCACACTGGATTAGGAAAGTCCCATTGATATTATATGTGGGTGGTCATTTGAGTACATATAAGATATAGAAAAGTATAAATAAGTTGAGAGTAAATGCGATATTAATCACTCGACACTTTTAGAGAATAAATTTAATAAAACCGAGCACTAAAATTCAGAAAGAAATAGAATCAAACAATTTAAATCTTAGCTAGATTTCAAACACTTTTCAATTACATAATTAAGCAGAGCTTCTTTTATCCGCGTAAAACTTTGAAATGTTATTTTCGCATCATAACATTTGTCAGAAATAACTATTACTTTATTAATACACATTTCACCTTCATGAACAGGTGTTTGTTCCATTCCCTGGCTAAATATGTACACTCCCCTCCATAAGTTTGGCAACCTTAGCTCCCCCATTGAACTACGTGTTAAAGCCTCTTTACCTTTGAATTTTACCTACTTAACCTGCGATGAAAATACTTATACTATTGATGGCAACGTAATTTGACTTTGTTTCCAATACCTCCAAGTTTTCTCAATTTTTTTCCTCAATTACAATAGGTCGAAAATTGATGATAAAGTTGATGAATTTTTGAAAATCGACATTCCCATATTAACCAATGGGAAATGGTCATGTGACAAAATACCCATTCATCCGAGTCCTTGCAAAATATACAAGTTAGGTAGGCAATTGAATTTGTTAACTTTATTTTACAAAAGATTGATACGTTTCTTCAGGTTCAACAAAATTGTTTTTCAAAAAACCACTCCCATAGAAATAACACAGGAGGCGGAAAATGATTTTCAAAAATGACTCTGTAACTTTAGTATTCATCAATTAAACTAAACACTTAGTGTACGAAAATGTTAGAGAATTCAATTTATTTTCTCTATAAAAATATTTTTTGCTGAATCTTTTGCTGCATAGATATCCTGATGTCTGATTTGTCCCGAACCCACCATTTCCCATTGGTTTACATGGGAATGACGATTTTCAAAAATTTTATCATCAATTTTCTACCTACTGTAATCGAGGAAAAAAATTGAGACAATTTGGAGATATTGGAAATAAAGTCAAATGACGTTTTCATCAATATAAGTATTTTCATCGTAGGTTAAGTAAATAAAAATTCAAACGTAAAGGGCTTTAACACGTAGTTCAATGGGGGAGCTAAGGTTGCCAATCTTATGGAGGGGAGTGTATATTCAATATCACTCATAATTGAACAGGCGCCTGCTGTGTGTTGATTTTTAGAACATGTGTCATTAGTACAGTTCCTTATATCTGTATTTATATATTATCATTTCTTGTCAATCAATACATTAAGTTGACATCGCTTACAATCGGAAGTACATGGAATGAACGGTGTTTGGATTTGAGTTTTAAAGGTAAGTTAATTTATATATCTAGCCCAGGATTTCTAGTCACTGTTTAAATCATCACTCACAAATTTCAATATTTAATTACAAAAGAAAGTTTGAATATGCGAATATTATAAAAAGCGCGATTCAAAAACACAAAAAACATAAGCAATTACAAATAAATTATCGCATGATCTAATAAGTAGTACAGGGTGTTCAAAAAACAAAACCCAAAGAAGTCGCTATATCTTGGGAAATACTTATCCAATTGTGTTCATTTTTTCAGGAAAGAACGAGGAGACTGTGTATGTATAGCTCCTGCTGTTAGTCAGTTGTAAAACTTGATGCCTTGGAGACCTGCTCAAAATACATTAGTATTAGAAAGATACGAAAAACGCAGTCAGAGGTGACCGCCAGAGCAATAAACCCTAATAACTTTCTAACCATGGTGTTTTGGCACTTCAGATTCAAGACAAATTATCTTCATATAATGTGTAGTGAATTAGGGGAGTTTCATTAAAATCACTTCAGGGACTTTACAGTCATGGTAAAACTGCCTCCTAAGTCTGACTGAACCAGGGTGTTTCAGTGACTGAGTTTTGAAAGCATTTCGACCAAAACTGTAAAGTCCCTGTAGAGATTTTGATTTCACTGTACAGATTTATCATACATTGGATGAAGATGATTTGTGCCAAATTTGAATAGCCAAAACACTATGGTTAGAAAGTGATTTGGTTTTATTGCTGTTGCAGTCGTCTCTAACTGTGTTTTCGTATCTTCGCTAATACTAATGTCTTTTGAGCAGTTGTCCAAGGCATCATGATTTACAACTAACTAACAACATGAGCTATACATACACAGTCTCTTGAAAAAATGAACACAATTGGACAAGTATTTTCCAAGATATAGCGATTTCTTTGGGTTGCGTTTTTCTAACACCCTGTATTAAAGGGGTATTCAGTTTAAAAACGACAATAGTATGTAAATGTATAGTTTACACTGTTATATCAGTGAAGCAATGAATTTAGGTGTACCAAGCAATGCGTATTATTTCTGATGTTAATATAGGTTGACACGAAGGGCACACAGTAGTTCTGGTGAGCGTACAGATACCAAAGCAAATTTTGAAATAGCCATTTCACGATGATAATAGCGAGAATTGGATCAAAGAATGTAATCTAGATATTATCCAACAATGAAAATGTCAGAATGTCGGGCGTTACTATTTGATATTTAACTGGTTATAAAATCATAATCAGTAATTCAGAAGATTCGGGCCAATATCTTGATCACTTCTTGTGTGTTTTGAATTTTTTCTAATGTAATAAGACCAAAACTCGCGATTAAAAATTTGACTTGAAAATCACGACATCCTTCAAGATCGGATCCATTGTTGGAAAAAATCTAGTTGCGTCCCTGGAATCCAATCCTCCCTGATGATATAGGTAACTTACCCGATCGGAGTTCCGGTTGCTCCCCAGTTGTGGGCGTTCGAGTTAAGCGTCATTTGAGGAAGGTTCAGACGCAGCAACTCTTTTTTCTTCGTCCTATATGACAAATGTAAATTTTATTTTGGACATTGAGTAAGTTTCATTAATTTCGATTCATGATTCACAAAACTGCTAGTGTATCATTCACGATGATTCTCAGATCGGGTAGAAAATCAGAAATAGTAAATGGATGGTTAAAATTGTTTTAAAAAGACATGTAATCTGCTTTATCAGTAAAATATATAAAAATATACCTGACATTTGATGAATTAATGTCAATATGAAAATCCCCTTTGGCGTATCGAACTCATTATGCAACAGATACGGTTATAAGATATAAATAGATGCGAAAAAATGTCACGAGTAATTGAAATGGAACTTAATCAAATAATTCCGTAATTACAAATTATACTTACCCAAACTTCATCCTGTATATTTGCCTATTTATATAACTAGCATGGAAACTCCAAAAACTATTTGCTTACTAATATCTTGTAACGTAATGTAACATACAGTGCAAGATTCAGGGTGTTCCTATACCTAGGAATGTTGGTTTTTATCTGATGCCTTAATCAATATCATTTTACACGCCTTAAGGCACTAATGAGAAAAGTTGCAACGTAAACCCTAATGAGACTTTTTCTGTGTTTCCCTGGAGATATTTTTCTGGTAATTTCAGCAACAATTTGCCTCCGATGTATTATATTTCTCTTGTCGTTGTTCCTTTTTTCTCAGAATGTATCATTATATAGAAATTATTTATTACTGATATTTCCAGGAAGGTTTTTTATGTTCTGCCTCTGTATTTTTAATTGGCTGTTTGTTGATAAAGCTGACGATACATTTAATTATAGCGATAACTCAAATAAATAAACAAAAATCGCTATGTAGAACCATACAGGTGTCATTTCCGCTTTAGATCTATCATAGCTAAATATTATGTGGTTATAAATGACCATTAAATGTAGTTATTGTTCAAAGTGGTTTAATCTTAAAAAGTGGAGGAATTAATGTCAAAATGTATTTTTATATTGGTACTTTATTTCTCCACCTACCTTGAACAAACAATTGTTAAATACAGGGCTTCACAAACAATATATTGTAATTTAAAAACTTCAAATGTTCTTCTTCATTTAAAAATTAAAATTCAAGCAAATAAAAAAAATGAGAGTTGGAATTTGTTTCTAGTTTGTCCATGTGAAATTTCATGATGATCCAATAAAGGGAAAGTGTTTAAAACAAGCTTTAAAGTTTGTGACTAATTAGTGTTTGGGGTACTATCAAATAGAAGTGCTTTCGAAAATATATTTCATTTTCTACATATCAGGATTGCAAACTGGGTAACCCTGGTGAAAAATGAGCTACATTAACACCCCAGTCAAATTTATCGTACGGTAGCCGAACGTTGACCGCAGATCAATTAAATCAGTGAATTTCTGCGGCGAGCGTAGGAAAACTACTTTCTGTAACCAGCGTAATCGAGAGGATCAACAGTGTGTTTGAAAGGTCATTGATACCAAAGCAACCTATATGACAAAAGATTGAGTTACTATTGGTCAATTTATTACTTAACACTTTATTTGATATTATATCCTAGCACTATAAATAACATTTATGAATTTTACTGATTTAAATTAAATAGAAGAAAACATAAACTTTTATCAACAGAAATTCAAAATTCGCCGTGCGGCTGCCGTAGAAAATGTGACTTCAAAAGTATCCGACCGCAGAAATTCTACGGCGAGCGTAGAAATGTTACTGACCACAAAAATGATAGACTGCACGGTCGGCGTAGGAAATGTGACTGGGTTATCCCGTGCCAGGACTTCGGGATAATGACTGGGGTGTTAGAACTGACCATTATGGAAAATAATTTGAATGCATTAAACGTTTTAAAGAACGCAGTGACAACTTGTTTGATGTGATAGCTATTTTGGTTAATTCGCTTTATATGTCATCATTAATAAAGAGTTAATATTTCAACTTACCTCACTCTAGCTATCTTGTATCAGTTATGCTATATAAACCAATAATTTGTGCAATAGCATTTGGCTTGATTTTGAAGTTCCGCTCTGGATTACTAGTAATGCAGGACGGAATTTCAAAATCGTTCATGTTCCTCGTACCCTAATATGTATTTGAACCATATAAGATAAGTTTTTATCGTCCGATTTCAGAACCTCATTTCTTGAAATTGATTCTGGAGATACTCTCACATTTAGCTGGTTTCTGAGATAAAGAAAATAGTACCAAGAATCTGTTAATATTTAAGATTCATGTTCCGCCGGGAATTATGGTCCTCATTCTTTAGGTCCTTACTGGCCCCGGTTGACCTGAGTAAGAATCCAGAAGGTCGGGAGAATAGTTATGGTTGATTAAGTATATATATAATAGGATTTATTTGTACTGATGCCCTTTTAGGGCCAAACGTACATCCAACATACAATTTTCATTAACAGTGAAAATAGCAATAAAGTGAAGAAAATAGGATTGCATTCTTCAAATGACATATGAACCTATGAATAACTGAGAGGGGAGCATATGCTCTATGATATGCCCATCTAATGCCGTGGTCACATTTGCTCCGATTTTCACTACGGCGCTCGCCCGATTGAGTATTTTGTTCAAAATTGAATACAATATTGAACAAAACACTCAATCGGCCGGGCGCCGGCCGATGGATCGGAGCATATGTGACCCAGGCATTACACATTTCTTGAAAAATTAAAACGATTCATCATAATTGCACTTGTTGTTCTTTTAAAATAAGAGGGTTGCAATTTTAGGGATCACTCTGTATATATCAGGTGTTCCTCCCATGAGAAATTGTGACTTTCTGCATAATTTTCCCATCAATCAATCTTTGTCCTCGCTAGAAGGATGCATTGAAAGAAGCGGGAAATTCTGACGAAGCAGGAAGGAAGATTGCAACTGACACTGTAGTAATTATTTTATGTATCTTATCACTGAGATTAATTTAATCTTCATGACATTTTTTGTATCGCATATCGGTATTTATTGTACGAAAGTATAGGTGGTTGTTCACAATGCCAGGATAACCATGATACAAGCGACATGATAAACGATTTATCCAACCTCATTGAAGCCCCCCCCCCCCATTGAATTACTGAAGATAGACAAGCTCTGCAAGCTTTCGTTTAAGTAATATCTCGTCAAGATCATGGGTCATGGCATATTCATTTAAAATTAAATCAAGCATTTGTGAAATATCCCATCCAATAAAATAATAATAGCCTGAGAGGATCTTCTCTAAATCCAAGCCTACGGAGGCGATCCAGGGACGATCTGTTTGCAAGAACTGCACTTTGCAGATCTGGATTTTTCGGAAGATCCAGCTTGGAAACTGCCTCGGCAATCCTCACCAACTCTGGCTTGTTGTATCCACTACACGTCACTTTCCGCTCGCCCAGTCTGTTACGCGGTAAACACGATACAAAAATATGTCATATTCCGCAACGAATATGGCATATTCACTTGCGATGTATGACAGATTCACCTGCGGTATATGGCATACATACTAACCAATGAGAACGCGATACGGAAGTACGCAATTGTCAATTACATCGATTGAACGAACAAGTAAAACGTTATAAATTATTATAATGATTACTGAATCAACAGTACTGTGTATCGAATATATTAACTTAGCAGAAGTATCAGTCACCAATCTCGTGTAATAAACGTTCTCAATCAAACCAGGATTCATATATTAGTACTCGACGCACTGACTATATTGGTAATCCAGCGTAGTTTTACATTTAGAGTCGATTTTCGCAACCAATCAAATCAAGGCTTTCTGTATCACGTTTTCACCTGCGGTATATGTCATATTCACCTGCGGTATATGGCATATTCCGCAAGTGAGTATGACATATTCTGCAGGTGAGTATCGGGTATTCACTGAAATCAATGTATCGCATATTCACTGCGGAATATCGCATACTCACCTGCGGAATATGCCATATACCGCAGGTGAGTATGGCATATTCAACCGTATCACGAATACCGCGCAACCATGAATGTATGCCATATACCGCGTAACACAGTCAACGCTTGAGATCTTCCACTTTCCAAGACAGGAAATGTTCCTGCCGATTCATCGTAGATATTTGCGTATTTGTGATTATGATGGAGAAATTGTTTTGCGTGTATTGAAAAGTAATGGCGTCCGAGATTTTCTGGCCCAAGATTTTCGAAAACGGGATTTCGCGAGATTTTGCGATACTACCCGGGGAATTAGAAACTATACTATTGGATTACATTGGGAATTTTAAGTTAGGCTGGTCATATAGCGTAATAAAACGACTCGTGTTCACGGAAAGAAGCGTTCATATTTGGTGTATACAACATATTTTTTTTTTATTAAAAATAAGATAAAAATAATTCATCACACCATGAAAGAACACATTGACCTATTTCTCAAAGTACAATTAATTCATCTTCGTAGATCCTGTTCATCTTTATAGAGATTATTTATGGTTTTTTCTTCATCCTGGGTCTAGACCACTACACTCGTTCCTTCTTATACTGACTTACAAATGGAAGATTTCTCCTCTTCTGTCAGTTTGCTCATAGTTATGTTTTAGACCTTACCGGAAATAGATTACTCGCATGTTTATTCATTTAAAAATAGATATATTAATCGGTAATTAATGCATACAGGTGTATCAGTAGTAGGAGTGATATTGTGAAATAATCTAAAGCCTCGACGATCACGCCCTTACACCCAACACTATAGGCCACAATAGACTCATGCATACTGTATATTCAAAAAACTTCATTTGTCCACTATGTGCTGAACGTCGTGTATGTATACTCCAATTAAACATTTTTGTTTCAGATTAAGGAGACAGGATAATCATAAGAAGCGGAAAAGCAAAACATTTACGAAAACGGAAACTGAAACTTAAATCTAGCCGGGCAACTATTAAACAGGCTCACGGACAATGGCGTCAAATTCATATAGAAATCGAGGCATCTTACGAATTGTATTTCTTTTTACAGTTATATGTAAAATAGGTAAGTAGGCAGTAGTAGGGAAGAAAATGGTGTTACGCGGAATATGGCATATATTCATGGTTGTGTGGTATTTGTGATACGCGTGAATATGCCATACTCACCTGCGGTATATGGCATATTCCGCAGGTGAGTATGGCATATTCCGCAGTGAATATGCGATACATTGATTTCAGTGAATACCAGATACTCACCGAGGAATATCTCATACTCTCCTGCAGAATATGCCATTCTCAACTGCGGAATATGCCATATACCGCAGATGGAAACACGATACAGAAAGCCTCGAATTGATTTGGTTATAAAAGTCAATTATAAGCTTCACGATAGTTGGTTCGTTTAGTTATGTGTTATAATGTTTCCCTTGAAGTGTGTTTTTGCGTGTAACACATACACAAAACAACATCAAACAATACAGGTACCATACTGGCGTGTGTTATTACATTTGTATTAGTTGATATATTCACTGCATTAAGATGTTGATTCAGTTATCATAATAATATAAAGTTATACAGTTTAGCACGTTCGTTGAATCGATGTAATTGGCAATTGCGAACTTCCGCACCACGTTCTCATTGGTTAGTGTGTATGGCATATACTGCAGGTGAATCTGGCATAAACCGCAAGTGAATATGCCATATTCGTTGCGGAATATGACATATATTTGTATCGTGTTTACCGCGAAACAAATGGTATTTGAATTTACATCGAACATATGCACTTAATGTTGATATAGATGACTGTACACGAACGACAGATTGTATGGATCGAGTACGGACTGAATGACCTAAACTGTACTGAATGACATCAATTTAATTTATTTATATATAGGCACAAGGCGTTTCCACTAAATCATTCTTGGAGTCAGAACACGAAACAAAACCGAACAGAATATCTAGACTATGTTCGTTGCCAAACAATTACTAGTCCAGTCAAAGTAACATTTGACCCAAAACTAATTGCAATAGTAATAAAATGTTGTTTTTTCAATCCATATAAACATATGAAATGACATACTAAAAATCTACCAAAATCTATTCAGTGGAACATGTCAAAAAATCATTTTTGGTACCCCCTCCCCTTGAAAAACAGACCCCCCTAAGGAAAAAATTATTTTTCAAATGCCTGCAATTTTTTAAAAGTAATTTTACAATTTCTTGCTTGTAATAAGGTATCCCAATCTGTGTATCTCTTTAACTTTGATATTCAGAGTGAATAAGAATATTTTTAACCCTTATTCATCTGAAATTTAGCATTAAATGTGCATGGTAATTTTATGTGAACGCCATTATATTCCTAAAAAGCGACTTAATCATGTATAAAAAAATCCCAGTTTTACCTTGTTATGTAATTCATACATATACAAAGCAAGAGAATTCTGCATTAATTAGTTGTTGAGAAAGAAAATCATAACTTTCAAAAACTAAAAAAAAAAAAAATTAGGGGTAGGCCTTCTTTCGCTTCATTTATTTTTAAATCGCTGGGAGAATTAAGATCATTAACCCCTAAGGACTTTATAATGAAATTATATATATTATGTATGCCTTAAATATAATATAAATACATATAAAGTCATGATTTTTTAAAACAAATTGAAAAATAGGGGTAGGCCTTCATTTGTTTCACTTATTTTTAAATTACTAGGAGAATTGAGACCAATAACCCTCATGGACTTGAAAATGAAATCTTATTAATATTATATACACTATAAATATGATATAGGTAGTTGGGTAAGTAGCTGATTATGTAGTTTGGTGGGTTGCTGATCAAATTCGCACCATTGACTTAACATGAGGATATCATCAAGTCGACTTTTCAAGATTTCAAAACATCAAAGAATCTAAACTCGAAGTCAGATTTCAATTCTGATTTCAAAAATTTCCAGTATTTTGACACCTCAAACATTGCATTCATTTAGAACTTTTTGTTTTGACCTATTTTCCATACAAATCTCAAAAGTAGGTTAAAATACCCTCTGACGGCAAGAGGCTAAAACTATTAGCATATTCTCGGCTATCTGTACATCGAACCTCGAAGAATATTATGAAAGCTTAGTGTCAGAATCGCAAAAATATGACTTTGGCTTTTCAAAATTGTATACTCAAGTAGCTTTTGAGGCCCTCTTCTGTACTTTAATGTTTTCATTTTCTTACTTTGTTCTGAACAAGTTTTGGTATCTACCCTTAACCACTAGTGCTTACATATTCCAGCCATAGTCATGTAGTTGTAATGCGGAATATGGCATATATTCATGGTTGTGCGATATTTGTGATACGGGTGAATATGCCATACTCACCTGCAGAATATGGCATATTCCACAGGTGAGTATGGCATATTCCACAGTAAATATGTGATACACTCAACTGCCGAATATGCCATATACAGCAGATGAGAACGTTATACAGAAAGCATCGATTTGATTGGCTCCATTTCGCGTTCTCATTGGTGAGTGTGTATGCCATATACCGCGGGTGAATCTAGCAAACACCGCAAGTGAATATGCCATATTCGTTGCGGAATATGACATATATTTGTATCGTGTTTACCGCGTGACAATAGTAACTTTTACAATGCCAATCAACATTGTGTCTAAATATATGAGTACAATGTAGAACAAGGCATAGGGTTAACAATATTGTACCTAATACATAGCAGTGTGGGCTTGTTTACCCTATTAGCAAGATGACCACCAAAATGTTTATCAGCTGTAGAACATCTTACCATGTAACATGTGTAAAGTTTTGAAGTTAATCCATGAAGTGGTTTTCATGGAATGCCAATGACAAAATTAATCCAAAAACTTCCAAAATGACCTCCACAATGCAAGATGGCCACTGAAAGGGGACCAGAATGCAAGATGGCTTCTGAATAGTTTATTAGCTCTAGAACTTCTTACCATGTACCATGTGAAAAATTTGAAATAAATATGTTGAGGGATTTTTTGGGAATTGTGATGGCAAGATTTATCTAAAAACTTCCAAGATGGCCACCGAAAAGTAAATAAGCTCTAGAACTTCTTTCAATGTAACATTTGTGAAAATTTGAAGTGAATACATGTAGTGGTTTTCCAGGAATCGTGATTTCAAGAAAAATGCAACACCACCAACCCGCCAAGCAGACAACAGTATCGTACCTTTTTAGGTACGATAAAATACACATCATATGATGTCATAATAAATGAGCAAATGAGCTAATTTGCATATGAGCTAATTGCATATTTATTGCTTCATTATGATACAAATATGAATTTGAGTTGACGAATAATGAGTGGAATTTGCCTGATAATGTATTACATCTATTAACAATATTCAAATGGTTGCTATGGAAACTGGCATTTGACATTATTGGTAACAAATTTGAGACTCGGATACAAGTGAATATGAAAAGGTTGGGTCATAAGTTTTACAACGGTACCTTATTTGTGCCTTTTCCTCTCATTTGTACAAATTTCATTTTCCGACCTTCATTCTAGTAGCCATACCAAACGGTATCAAAAAGTTTATTTCTCAAAATTCAATAAACCTATCATTTCAAGATTACAAAGAAATAATGAGTGTAATGCTGGTCCATCGTTACAAATTATAGGACATTTTCTAGAAGGTCCCATTAATATAAAATCACATATTCAAATTAGTATATGCGAAATTTGAGAGATTTTTTCTATTTTTCTGGGTTTGTAAGGGTTAAAAAGAAGACAAATGAACTTTTTCTTTGTTAAATTGATATTATTATCTAGGAAAAACAATATCCAATCGTGGTCAAGCTAAATTATGTAAAAATAAGACCTCAACTTTAAGAAATATGTTTTTTAGTCATGCACTCATAAATTGAAGGGGGTGGGGTAGGGGGTATCTTCGATTCAAATTTTAACATTGTTCCACTACTTCGATTTTGGTAGATTTTTAGTATGTATTTCAAGGTTAATAAATGTAAATAACTAACCTAATTTGATTTCTATTGCAATTTGTTTTGGGTTAAGCTATTTTTTTCATTAGTTTGACTGGGCTATACCCTTGTTTCTTCATTTCGACTTCATAAAATTCCAATAATCGAAGTATGATAACAGAGTAACCTTATTTGTGTTTCTCCTGCTGAACGTTGCTATACCATCTCATTTTCAACAATACTCAATGCTTTTTCTAATGATTTTAATTGACACAAAATAATTTAGCTTTTTATATTATATATTGATTCGGCCAATTATCTCAGTGACACTGCCTTATTTTTATTATTAATTTAAGTACCTGGTAAATGTAAACTACAAGACTGCTGATTATTAGGTACCTTTTATCCTGTATATTTGCACACACTTTAACAGCAGTGACACATGATCCTGAGATCCCAGTGCGGCATATTACATATCAATTTAAAGTATACTAGTGATAAAGTCACAATATGCTCAAAATTACTAAAATCTATGATATACAGGGTGTCAAAAAACAACGGCACCCCCCTCTACAGCAAAAAGTCCTTAATGTTACATGGTGTGTCATATCTCATTTTAAAGACAATTTAATTCTGGAGTTACCTGAGAAATTTCAACTTTATATCATATAATTTTACAGATTTACAGCTGATTCTTAGTAGTTGGTACGACCACCAGTTGCTGCTCAAACAGCAGCTTATTAGGACATATATGATTTCAATAAAAATTCACATAAAGGTGTAGCATTGCATAATCCTCTTCGCACTTTCCTCACATTCTTCAGAAATACATCCTTACTCTGTATTTTTTTCAAGAGGCTCTTTGTCCATCAGTTCCTATACCCTGTTTTTCAGAAATGAACCTATATATTCAGTGCAGTTGAGATCTGGGTTAATTCTTTCATATTTCACTTTCTAAAGATTTGACTTTTAACCAGTAACAGAGCAGCAAACAAAGTGCCGAAGTAGCAAACTTTGAAACAATGTAGCTTTTTCAATATTAAGTTTTATTTAATGAAATTTGATGAGTAACTCCAGAATTAAATTATCTTTCAAATGAGGTATGACACGATATGGAACATTCAGGACTTTTTGCTGTAGAGGGGGGTGCCGTTGTTTTTTGACACCCTAAGTAATGTGTAGCATTATTCAAATGAACCACAAGTCTTAACATTACACTTCCTATGTAAAGTGACATTTGATGAAATTTTAATAGGCGTGTATATTATATAAACGTTCATTATTAAAACACTAAATTGTAAGAACATCAACCATACATCATATTTTTAATATCATTATGTATCTTAAACAGGCAATGCGCCTATTTTTGAATGAAAAGGGACAAAATATTGTTTGAGACATGTCACTCACACAGTCACTCAAATATGATAAAAACTTTAATTTGGGATAATACTGAAGTGAAAAAATTACTTGCATAGAAAACAGCATTTGAAGTTCAGAGATTGAAAAAAGTGAATTACCACTTTTCACAAATAGTGTATGTTTTAAATAACTCTTGGATTAAAAGATGGCGTATGCTTGAAAATCCTGTCAAAAATGAATTGATAATTAATGCAAACAACAACTTGACATATATAAATTGATAGATCAAAAATATTTTGTCATGATCAAGTGTCAACTCTGATGTGGTCTGTTTGAACTTTTTTTGGTGTCAAATGAAAGATCGGGTACTTATTAATCCATTGGAAATACTATGAAGATCAAAAGTGAGAATTCATTTACGCACTTTGTCCATTTAACTAAAAACGCTTGATCTTTGCTCCAGTCTGAGTTGCTCAAACTCCCGGGCTCAAACTGGGCCAGGATCTCCCAAAATCCAATTCGTTTTCCAATCAGTGTTTGAGAATATGAATTCTGATGACACTTCGAGGTTACTTTTAGATGAAATTTCATATTCGTATTCTATAATCTATTTTTCAAAAATATACGTCAACTAAACAAATATATTTTTGTTAATGGCTTTAAGGCTTTCAATTCTAATGCAATGTGTAAAATAATGTTTCTGCTCAGTTGGCCATACCTTGAGATAATGCTCCGAAATACTAACTATGATGATACAACTGATTGGCTGAGACACCCTTGGCAAATTTGAATATAATGTAATGTACTGGGTGGGCCAATAAAAACTGGAACATTTTTCTATTAATTCTATTCTCTTTATTTTTGCCGTTCAATCCACAAAAATTCAGATACTGGTAAAATGGTTACTTGTGAAAATGTTAAAGATTAAAGTATGTATGTGTGATTCATTTTGGCTTGTCATGATCATGATCTGTATACTGTGTGCGTCACGAAAATTTTCCAAATTTTCTCTGCTTGAGACATCACTGCTGAAAATACAGTATCTTTCATAACATACAATATGTACCCTTCAAATGGTCTTAACACAATTTACATCAATTAAAACTATATGTAGTTATCTCTAAGAGAAGCAAGACATATCTACCTTGAATAATATAGCTTAACTGATTTCAACTCTTTTTCAAAACTGGCACAATAAGTGACAATATGTCTCTAAACCTGTCATTTAAGCAATGAATAACTGTCAAATACAGCTCAGACTGATTGTTCAGGTAGGTGGCAGACAGAGTTCAGGAAACCCTTGTGTTGAGTCAAAAAATTGGAACATTTTTCCATCGATTGTAACTTTTTTGTTAGTCATGTATTATCTTCAATACTTTAGAAAATTGAAAAACAATTCATTGTCATTCTGTAAATATGAATATACAAGCTCAACATTAAATTACTAAACTTGTCCTCCACCCACCTGAACAATCAGTCTGAACTGTATTTGACAGTCATGCTTGGCTTTAATGACAGGTTTTGAGACATATTGTGCCAGTTTTGAAAAAAGCTGAGGTCAGTTTAGTCATATTATCCAAGGGAAACATGTCTAGCTTCTCTTAGAAATAACTACATATGTTTTAATTTATTTAAATTGTGTTGAGACCATTTGAATGGCATATATTGTATGGTATGAGATACTGTATTTTCAGCAATGATGTCTCAAGCAGAGAAAATTTGGAAATTTTTCATGACGCACACAGTATATAGATCATGACCATGACAAGCCAAAATTAATCATACATACATATTTGTATCTTTAACATTTTCACAAATAATCATTTTACCAGTATCTGAATTTTTGTGGATTGAACTGCGAAAATAAAGAAAAAAGAAAAATGTTCCAGTTTTTATTGGCCCACCCTGTAATTGTATAGTATTGCGATTGTATTGTATTGTATTGTATTGTGTGGTACATTGTAATGTAGTGTACTGTTATGCTTAATTATATAGGTGCAGAGTATAATAACCCCTGCTGTTCCTTCCCATGTGAAAACAGAGGGGTATGTCTTACTCAGGGTTTCAAAGAATATACCTGTGATTGTGCCAACACAGGTTACTATGGAGACCATTGTGAAATTCGTACGTTCCTTTTACTTAAGTATAATCAAGCATATAGAAATATATATGGAAAATATTAATATAACTTAATATGTACAGGAAGCTATGTTGCAAATCAAGCTATGTTTCCCTTACGATCCAAATTTTCTGAAAAATTTAGATTATCTGATCAGATGTCAAAGTAATTTTGGATTTAAGATGCAGAAATTTATTAATTAATTGGAAAAAAGGAACTCAAGTTTTTAATAACCAAATTGCAAGATAACCTTCTAGAATCAAATCATTTTCTTGAAATAAAGTCAAAATGGATGAATATTCAGAAAATAGGCGCGCCATGGAACAAAAATGAAGAGGGCAAATATGTTGTAAACATGTGACAAATCTTCGAAACATTAAATTCTTCCGAAGACCATAATAAGAAACAATGCTTTTTTATTCTGATAGCAACCTTCTGGCTGAGGATAAAACTATGGCTAAAGCCAGGTCCATATACAACTCACTATTTACTAACGAACTTCCAATGGATGTGGAATATCATCAACAACACATCTTTTATGAGGAACTTTATCATGAGAAGCGTATATCTAGGTAAATAAAACATTTTGTTTCTTAAGAATAATACTTATATAGAGATACATGTGTCCGCTTATGGGTGATATTACACTGCCACTGATATTACAATACCAAAAGGAAAAGACCAACAAAAAGCACAAGGGCATAAGCACAGTATAAGTAAACTATATTTAACACCCCCCAGGCCCGTAGCCAGGGGGGTTCGCAGGGTTCGGGCGAACCCCCCCCCCCCTGGCCAAAAATTCTTTCAAAATCATGCAGTTTTTCACCATTTTGAGCACTTTTCAAGTGATTTTAGCCATATTTGGGCCAAAATTGCCAAAGTGAACCCCCCCTGGAAATTTTTGAAAACTGAACCCCCCCTTGGCAAATCCTGGCTACGGGCCTGCCCCCTTACTACCACCTTTCAGGATCCATTATTACAATCTGAAAAGCACAGGACCAAGTGACATTTTATGAAAACATTTTAATTCATGAAAAACAAACAATATTTCCCACTCTCGAAATCAGAAATAGATGTCGATACTCATGTCTATGCAAGATATTTAGCATTCGTTTTCAACATGGTACGGATAAAGTAAAGTGAGATCGTCATAAGTCGAGATGTCCTCAGTAATGGGCTAAGCAGCTGGTTTCGATACATCTTCCTCAACCATTGAAGAAGCATCGTATGCCAACAGATAAAACACTTTTGAAACAAAATGTGATTTGGGGTGGTGGTCTGCTCAGGTATCATGCGTTTTCTGATAAAAAATTTTACTTTCAAATGTATACGTGTGCATCATGCGCAAAAATATCCAAAAAGTCCCATTTGCACCTATTATTTCTAAAAGCTGCATTATTTGCTTTCAGTGAGAAACAGCGTGATAGACAGCCCGCCATTGTTTACATCCGGACATGAATATGTCACGTGGGAGTCGGCCGCAAACTTGTCATATTACGCTAGAACGTTGCCTCCTGTGCCTAGAGACTGTCCAACACCCATGGGTGTTAAAGGTATGAATCTAGAAGATATTACCTAGCTATTATCATTGGCTTTCAATTAGCTATTATATTTTAGTAGATTCTGGTGCAATCATTGTAGTGATTGCTGTTTTGAATTGAGCAGGTCCCCATAAGCTTACGTGATCATCAAATTCGGCAAACAAGTCTCCTCAGCTTCACGACCCCCCCCCCCCCCCGCTTGCCAAGTGTATTGTGTCCTTGAATCTGAATGTCATCTAAAAACGATTAACTATTTTTTTATTCATATTCAGGGCCAAAGACTCTTCCTGATGTTGAACTCTTCCGAAAATTCTTTGTGAGGACCAAGTTCAAACCGGATACCATCAATACAAATGTTCTGTTCGCGTTCTTCGCTCAGCATTTTAGTCATATGTTCTTCAAGACTGATTTGAAGAAAGGGCCTGGTTTCCAATGGGGAGGTCATGGAGTGAGTAATTTTGATATAATTTGTCTGGAATTCTATTTTATTTGGTATAATCAAGGACGATAGACGTCCTTGGTGTAATCCACCCCAAACCGATCATAACAATGTGGACCATGTAACCTGAAGATAGCAACAATTGAACAAAATGTGTTTTATAAAGCATCACAATAAGGTTAACTGTGCCTTTACTAATGCAATGTCGTATGTGTTTATAATAATGCTTCACATTTTACTATTGCATGATATTTCCCATTTTCAGATTGTTGTTTCACATTTCAGCTTGATGTGCCACATTTTCAGATGTTTCATTTGAATTGATAATCGTTTTGATATTTCATATTGTAACATATTGGAGTATTTCACATTTTCAGATTGATGTTTCACATATATATGGGCCAGATGTGGCATCCTCGAATAAACTCAGAACATTCCAAGATGGAAAGCTAAAGTATCAGGTATAGAATCAAAATCCGATTCCTTTCATCAAATCGGATCAAAATATATCACCGTTAAACGTGTCACATTATTCAGATAAAATACTTTAAAAACGTGAACATTTACAATATTATAACAATAAAAATTGATAATTGCGTGCATATGTATTTTTAACATATTTTATAATCCAAGATGGTTAATGGTGAGATGTGGCCACCATTACTGAAAGATGCCCCAGTCACAATGACATATCCTCCAAATGTAAAACCAGAAGATAAGCTAGGCCTTGGTCATGAGTTCTTTGGGATGTTACCAGGTATGTTGAGACGAGGAAAAATAATGTTATATCAACATTTAATTCGAATATTTTGATTTTGAACAATTAATTCTATCATATTGTGTAAAATAATAAAATGTGAAATTCATTGCCATTTATAGATTATTGGTAATCATAATTATGAAAGTCATTGAAAGTCATGACAAGTCTGCTTTCTTTCAGATCTAGAACCTACATGTTTTAGTTTAAGTGTGAGTCATATTGTACGTTTTGTTACACCTGTAGAGCATAAATTATAGGTCTGGTGGTATTCTCCGCCATCTGGTTGCGGGAACATAATCGTGTTTGTGATGTCATGCGAATTGAGCATCCTGAGTGGACTGATGAGCAGTTGTTTCAGACCACAAGACTTATCATTATAGGTAAGGAAACGCTGGATTATGGATTACGTTATTTAAAGCGATTTGTTATCATAGAAGTAAATAATTTATTTCAAAATCACTAAATCGTACAAAGATCGTCGTATGAAAAATATATAAAAGTAAAAATTTCGAAAAGGTCATAGAACATAATACTTCTATTTGAATTTTTCAGAAAATGTGCCCGATATGTAGCTCTAATTGATAGGAGTCTGTAAGAAAATGGCGGTCATTAAAGAAAAAGAGCGCTTTTCAAATCATTTTTTCATTTTTCTATTTCTTGTAATGAATCCAGTTTTCCAAAGCTTCTATCATATATTGGGCACATGTTCTGAAAGATTCCAAATATTCTGTTTGATGACATTTCCGAATGTACAACCTTTTCAGTCACATTTTCAGAGGGCTGAAAAAGCTATTTTAGGATCATTCAGACCATGCCCATTGTGACCCTGGTCATGTTTACAAATGATATATGGAACTAGCAAACTGACTGAAGGTCAAAACAGAACTAATTCAAAAAATGTCAATATACAGAATATCTGTGACTTCATGTTTTGTCATCTTTCTTTAATCTAGGTCAGACCATCAACATTGTTATCAGGGACTATGTTCAACATTTGAGTAATTACAACCTTCAGCTGTTTTTCAATCCGGAACTACTTTTTGGATATCCTTTCCAATATCAGAACCGAATTACTGTGGAATTTAACCATCTGTACCACTGGCATCCGCTTATGCCTGATGATTTGGAGATCAATGGGACGAAATACACAGCTCAGCAATACGTTTTTAATGCTGAGATGCCATTGAAACACGGTATGAAGGAAATGGTGGATTCCTTCGTGAAACAACGAGCCGGCTCTGTAAGTGTAAAATCAAATATAAATCTGGTCACTACAATGGTGAAATTTGATTAGATATTCCGTGTTACATACCAAAAGGAGAATGACGTCCGTCCTTGTTACATACCAAAAGGATAATGACGTCCGTCCTTGTTACATACCAAAAGGAGAATGACGTACGTTTTGGGTGCTAAGTATATTAGGTCTATGTATTCATAATGTGATAGTATATGAAGAAAGAATATGGATCTCAGTTTCACAAGAACTAATTGTTAATCAATATTTTCAATTTTTATTTTCAAGGTAGAACCTAATAATCACCCAGAAAATACTATACACGTTGCCTTAGAAACCATAAAACATGGCCGTGAATTACGGATGCAGCCTTTCAACAACTACAGAAAGCGGTTCAATTTGCCAGTTTATAAAACCTTTGAGGAACTCACAGGTTAGACAAAATATATCTTTCAAATATATGACATCTCATTTCGTTTCGATTAACTTTCATTTAGACACAACATAGTCTTATCCAGAAGAAATATTTATGCATTCAGTATAAAATACCTGATTTTGGTTTTAAGATAAAAACTTATTAATTTGCACGCAATGTGTAAATAAATAAATATAAAAAATAGATAAATAAATAAACATATAAATAAATAAATATAAAGCAACTTGTGAAATGTTTATGAAAAAAAGGTTCACGAAACAAAAGAAAAATCGTTATTTTAAATTTGATTGTTCTAGGAGAAAAGGTGTTAGCCACTGAACTCGAACAGCTTTATGGGGACGTTGACGCTGTCGAGTTTTACGTTGGTATTTTGCTCGAACGGCACGTGAATGGAGGTATGCTAGGACAGACCGTCATAGAGTTGGGCGGTCCCAATTCTGTAAAGGGACTCATGTCTAACCCAATATGTAGTCCACTGTACTGGCGGTCGTCGACATTTGGAGGTGATGTTGGCTTCAATTTGGTGAAAGACTCAACTCTTCAAAAACTATTTTGCATGAACATGAATGGATGTCCAAGAATAGCTTTTAGCGTGCCGCTCAATGACGATGGAAAAACAGATTCAATGCAAGATGAACTATAGTCTACTATGATTTCAGACTCAATAGTCCAGTCCTGTAAATTATACCACCTAATTATAAAATCATTTTTTCATCGATTGTAATTATATGTTGTTTTTAAAGCATAGAATTTGTTCAATAAAGCCGGCGGCCATCTTGTTTTTTGCTCAGGGTAAGGCCAGATCGATATCAAGTTTAATTTTGAAGATTTTAAAGATGACAGGCCAGTTGATTTTAGACGAAATCATGCAAAACATCTCACTTTAGTTTGCTTCAAGTTCAATTCAATTCATTAAATATTTTTAAAATAATATCTAAATCAGATCTAAATTACTCAGAGTGCGAGTAGGTAGTTACCACTTTCGCCACCAGGTGGCTAATTCGGGGGAAATACATGTAACATGCTCAGAGTATTGCAAAATCCCCTTAAATTTGAATAATCATGATCATCAGTTTTAATGGTTCACGTTTCATATTAGATATTACCCTTATGTATCTGATAGTTATACAAATTGAAATATGTCCACTTAACACCTGCCCAACACAAGACAAGATATTTTTTCTTTTTGTGATTTTACAACATGGGGTCTATGGGGAATCTCCCCGACCCAGAAGTCACTTTTTCAAAGAAAAAATTGAATTTTCAAAGTTGATAAACTCTTCTCAAAACCACATTTCTAGATGTGATTTTACATGTAGATTCCAAATATGACATCATTTTGACTGCATTTTTAATGAAGTAAATCAAGATTATTTCTACATATACTAGCATCTGGCGTATTAAATATTTTACTACATGGCGGGCCACATGTGACGATTTCTAGCCAAGTTATATTGGATAGAGGCTCAAATAAACATGTGGTACTTAGCTCTGACTTCCTAAGTCTGAACATTGGTGCAAAAGTCCAACTGTGCGTGGAAGAATTGCAAAATGTAGCAATACTAGGTTGTTTGTTGAAGAATTTAGAAACGTGTCTTTTATTTTTGTAGAATTACAAATATATCAAGTGATTTATTGTTAATTTGCGGCAATAAAAGAAAATGATAATTATACATTTTATCTGTAAATACACACTGTTAAAAATAAATGTTATAAACGTCCGTGTTTAATAATATACTGGTACACAACCTTTAATTATATATGGTTAAAAACATCAGTCAGTTGTCAATGTCATCATCTATTCCTGTTTAACATTACTGCTCCATGGTATAAAATAAGATTTAAGAGAGTCAGTTTCATTTTGCGTGACTGAGAAATCGAAAATGAAATGCTGCGATAGGCTAATATTGGCTACTAATTTTGTTTCAATTATATTTTGAATTTGTATTGTAGTGTAAATGAATTTAGTCAAGCTACAAGCCCTTGTGACGACCCCACGACTCCACTACAACTGTGTGAGGAGGTGTTAGTCAAACAGAGGGGGGGGGGGGGGGGGTAGTCACAGTGGATAGTAGCTAGACCAGAGTTAATTGGAATCATGTCAAAGCAAGACAATAGTGTGATTTAGATGAATGATAAGTATGTGGAGCATATCGAAATGAAACTGTACAAATAAATGTGAATCAAATAAGAAATTAACTGTTTTGAAATTCAAATAAATAATATAATGTGAATCATAATAAAGGCCCACTATACTTAATTTAGAGGAAAAATCAAAAAAATCATAGAATCATGTTACTCACACACTCGGTCTAATATGACACAAAGTTTGATTTGCTTTAATATTGAACCAAGAAAAAAATAACTCACATCGTAAAGAGCATTTGAACTTCAGAGATCATTAGACATGCATGCATATGTTAAACAAAGTGCATGTTTTAGATTACTTTTGATTTAAAAGATGGCGATACTTCTATAAAAATGAATGTATCATGTAATACAAACAACTGTGCCATGATAAAAACTTGATATATAGCCTGAAAATATTTTTTGATTCTTTATTGTAAGCTTTGATGTGGTCCGTTTGAGCTGTTATTGGTGTCAAATGAAAGATAAAGTTCTTATCAATACATTGGACAATCTATGGAATTCAAATGTAAGTCTTTATTTTGCCAAAAAACTGAAAATATGCAACGTGGGCCTTTAAGTAAAACGTTTGTGTAATATCAAGAAATTATGAATGTGTATGATGATCACATCAAAATGAAATGTTGTGTCATTTTAATGAATACGAAATGTGAATAATGTATTAATAAAACTGTTATGTAATTTGAATCAATGTTAAATTGGAACGATATTAATATTGTCCCTCTGGGATAAAAGCCATATTCAATCTTGGATGTGGTTATCGATTAATTCGTCGTGTAAGTGTATAAATATGAAACTCACACTAAATATCTTATGTATTTAAACATATTTAAAACCCTACGATTATAGTATTGAATACAAGTCTAAAACTTCAAGCTTTAAATACACTCAATTAAGGCAATATGTTGGCCAAGAGTTGTACAGAGAGACACAAAAAATCATTGAATAGAAATGTCTATAACTTTGAATCACATGAGTTTGGCACAAATGAAAGTCAATGCTAATATAAGGGCTGATGTGGAAAAAGTCAGTTCACTTCAGTGGGATTGAAACCGATAACTCTCTTTTCAAGTCTACGTTTAGGTTACAATGTTTAAGTCCATCTCAAGGATAAAGTGTAAGAAAGCAATTATAAATGACCATATCATTTGGTAACAATTGGCAAAAGGTTGAATCGCAGAATAAGTTGATACGAGGGGAAACCTGGACGGGAAATACTATGATCTCAGGATACAGAAGAAAAATCAAGAAGATTCCTTCATTATTGACAAAGTTATTCCAAAAACAAAGGGTTGCACCTTTGTGCTACCCTGTAATAAAAAAACAAAAAACGGAAAAACAAATGCACAACAGACGACCTGAAGAAAATAGACGACCATATTGGTAAACAGCTTTAAAATAACTAGGATTTAAATTATTGGAAAGTAAATTGAGAGAAATCACTATCACACCCTCAGCAACAGGAGTAGTACTATTGTTATCATTTCACATTACATAAAATCGTTGTAAGTTTATTTGTAATAAATTTTTAAGGAAGTACATAACGATGAAATCATGGAGGTTGTTTCTGATGGTGGCCATTGTGGTTTTGCTCTCATTGCATCTCTTACTCAAAAATGACCAGCAGATATCCAGTCAGCTTTTTAGCAACTCATATTCACCGTACCACAAGCGTAAACAACTCAGGACAAGGAATGGATCAGAGAACTTCAAGTCAATAGACAATAATATTCTAAGTAGAAGCAAAGACAACTTCAAGCCAATAGACAAATATACTCTCAGGGGAAGCACAGATAGAGATATTTTAGCACGGCTTCAGGATGCCATTCCAAATAATAACATTACTCAGGAGATGTATGAGAGAGCGTTCTTATGGAAAGGGAACACGGTTAAGCTGAGGAAAATATTCAGAGAGGCAATTGTAAAGAAAACGCCAATATCTATGGCAACTATCGGTGGGTCGGTTTCTGCGGGCGGAGGTATAGATCAGGTATGCTTCACTGGTTCGTTTTTGTGGACGACGGTTCGGCGTTCGGCGTCTGTAACAAATGACAGGTGGTGACATTTTGAGGTTAATGCCTTGTTAATATTTATATAATCTTACTGTAACTCAGACCTATTAAATATGGCTACAGGGTGATCTCAAATAATGTGACACACTAGGCTATGCTATATTACTTATATATTTACAGTTTACACCATAACACAATGAACCATGTACTATTTTAAGTTAATGGTTTTAAAATCCATATCTAGCTATTGCACTGTGTATCACAGGAGCGTTATGTGTCACAAAACACATACCTTACAACTTTTACTTGTGTACAAAAATATTTTATTTAAAACTGCTAATGCATAATCAAATAAAGTTTCGGCTAATTAAGTACATTATCGAATCTCATTCAAACAAATTCACAAAGTCAGTTAATTCTTCACCATAACAACTATTTATGTTAGCTCTATTCTAAATAAACAATGAATTGATTTCAATACAAAAACATAATAGTTGAATGTTTTTTTTATCAAAACGGACGAAGGTTGTATGGATCATGAGTGGCAAATATTGATAATCGTCCATCCGTCAAATGTCTTTATTTAATTTGCATTTTGCTTGAAGATATATTCAATAAACACAAGATCTCTCCCGTTTCGGCAATGACGGGGGCTTTTTTGTTTAAAATTAAAGAATTTTTCAATATCTCAAATTCAAAATCAGAAAAACACATGTTCTCAGTTTTTGGTGACGTGTTAACTCAGATAATAATAGTAATGTGCAAGTTTACTTTTTCTGAGTTCATATTCAAAATTAATTGATGTAAGCGTTCTAAAGACGTCATCTTTAACACGTTCATATTAAAACAAAAATTTATATTTTGTCGATGGACGTAAATCAGGGTGCCTATATTCTGCAAATGTTTTTCAATCATCTTCAACCATACGCAGCCTGGGGGTCGTTTCGATAAAATATGTTCAGGACTTTAACGTAACAATCTATTTCCATAAACTTAAACCCACGACAAAGTCGCACAAATGTTGTACGATAAACAAAACCTATCGTAAAAATTCACGACACTTTCTTGGGGTATATAAATTTTTGATTCAATGTTATGAGACCATCTTTTAATGTCAAGGTCAATTTTGCATTTGTTCTTTGTCACTAGTCTGTCCATATGAAGCAATATTGATCATAAAAGACTATGCCGTTCATACTTTCTCTTTTTAACTGTAGTATGTAATCCATTTCGTCCTGACACTATAATCTTATTTTATTCGAGATTTGAATTTTGAAAATACACTTCATGTTGACAAAAAAATCTGATTTTATTTGAGATTAAAGTTTTGAAAATACACTTCATTTTAAAATATTGATTTTAAAAAGGTCAGTATCAAGCGATGGTAACAGCCGTAACCTTCATATCAAAGATGGCGGATGTAAAGTGTCGATTTCGATATTTTTAGTTTTCATCGAATTAAATCTAAAAATATCGAAATCGACAATTACCGTCCGCCATCTTAGATGCGAAGGCTACGGCCGTTATCTTCGCTTGATACTGACCAGTGACTTCCGTAACTTTCCTGAAAACTGTTGAATCAATGATTTGTCATTAATAAAACTATTGTGCCATGGACTCTAAATACATCAGATGATACACTCCCCTTCATAAGTTTGGTAACCTTAGCTCCCCCATTGAACTACGTGATAAAGCCTCTTCACCTTTGAATTTTTATTTACTTAACCTGCGATGAAAATACTTATACGAGCTCTTTGATGGAAACGTAATTTGACCTTATATTCAATACCTCCAAATTTTCTCAATTTTTTCCTCGATTACAAAATTGAAAATTAATGATAAATTTGATGACTTTTTGAAAATCGACATTCCCATGTTAACCAACAAACCACAATTGGTTTCAAACAATTGAAATTGTTTCACTTTTAAAATGTGTCCATACAAAGCTTTCAATTTTACCCGTGGTCTCATGGTCTCTCAAAAGCTCGCCTCGTTTGATCAAATTGCGGCCATTTTGTTGCCGAAATCAGCTTTTTTTATCATAACTCCACAAATATTCCATTAATTTTCTTGAAATTGTACATGTACCTTACTCTATAAATTAAGAATAATCACCTTTTGCGTTATGAAGTTTTGCATTTATTTATTTGAAATTATACAGGCAGGTTTTAAGTGTATTTTATAATAAAATAGTAATGATATCGATTGGAATCTTTTGCAAAATATGATCTCTTAAAATTTCGAATTGCCACAACTTTTATTGCTTTGGTCCTTATTCGGTTATAAGTCTGAATTGTTCTATATAAGTTATACCTCATGTACATGTACCTCATTTTAAAGGTTATAGAAATGTCCTTGTATTCCTACGACTGTCGTGGAGTTGGAAACTACCCCCTGACGTCATAACACTAGTCGTGGAAGATCTCAAACCGGGAATTAATAAGTATTTTATTACATGTGACATTTTGTGATGTTTAACAATTCATTTTCAGGGCTCATGTGAGTTCCCTTGTCTGTACATGGAAATATTGGCACAATGGATGAGCACAGTTTTTGGCATTCCTGTTGAATCTCGGAACACTGCAATGGGCGGGGCTAACAGTGAATATTTCTCCCATTGCCTAAACGCACATGTTTCTATGGAGACTACTGATATTGTCATCGGGGAATTCGCTACCAATGACCAATTATCTCATTCGCAATCTGGATTTAGAGAAATGGGACGGCCACTAGAGGAACTGATACGCAATACGATGAAACAACAACGTGAAAACAGACCGGTTTTGATTCTGGCAGATTTTGTTGATAAGAAGATTCTTGGTCCAGAGTTTAATAGTAGTCATACTTGTTCATTCGATCTTGAACAGAAACACTACAAACCATTATTGGAATATTACGACATCACTGGGGTGTCGTTATTTAATATGGTTTGCCCAGTGTATGGTGAACAACTTGGCTTCTATAGCTCTGACATAATTTCTTATGATTATTTCCACCCCAGTCATCTATCACATCACTATATTGCGATCGTTTTAATCAAATTCTTTGCAGGAATCATTAAAGAGGCTTTGAACCCTTTACCCTTGGGTCTCCCAAATCCATATTTACCCACTCCAGTTTTGAATAGCACATGGATCACCAATCCCGTATGCTTCACCAACAAGCGCCATGAACAGATTGATAGTTACAGTAATCTGTCGGTGACAGAACTGAACGGATTCCATAAATACATTCTCAGGACATCCCTCCGCCGGTTTCGCAAATTTGAGGTAATGGAGTATCGCAAAGACTTGTTTAATGGTTTCAAGGGCAACAAGCAAGGTGATTGGATTACATTGGACCTAGTTGCACCCATCAGACCCTCTGGTCGTGTCCAGCAGGTCCTTTCACTTGGCTACGTCAACTGTGAATTCTGCAACGAGACTATCATCTCTGTATGGATTGGTATGCGACAGAAACCAATTTCACCCGTGTTTAATTTTACGACATTCAAATATTCTCCTGGTACAATAATCATTCAGGTTGATGACATAAATCTCAGTGATTATGTAAAAGAACAACAAAGATTCAACGTCACTATTATGCTCAATGGGTCATATGACTTCATATTACACGCAGCAATGATTGCATGGAGATATATAAAGTAAAGCATAGGGCGTTCGCGCAGGTACTGCACCTTTTATTAAACTAGTTTACTTTTATTACTACTTTTATTAAACTACCGAAAATATTGGTTCGGTTTTTCTTTTTTCCTTATTTCACAATAAACATGAAAACCCTTTGAAATGAGAGCATTTTTCGTGAACGACCTGGTCGTATACAGGGTGAGTCAAAAAGGTAACTCAAACAAATGTCAATAACTCCGTCTTCAAACATGGATTTCAAATCATATTTGGCACAATTCAATGTGCCAAATATGTGGTTCAGTGCTCTTTCATTATACTTATTTTCATTGATCTAGTTTAAATGGTCACGATTGTATTGCAAATTTACAAATCTCCAAATGCGAAAAAATCACCCGATATGAATCCCCAAACTTTTATCTTTTGAGATATTGTCCACACTTACAACTCTAGCAGCATGGGGATAGTGACAGGGGGTTTCGTAGGGCTCGTGCAAACCCTTCATTCGCTTCGAACGGATGATAAGAGCCAATACATGAGATATCTCTGAGCGTGAAGTCATACAACTTTATCCGGTACGTTCAAATTGGCCTCCAGAGATGAGACCGGTGTAAAAGAAATTATGGTCCCCTGGGGATTATGGTCCCCTTTCTTAAAGACCCTTACTTGCCCTGATTGTGGATACGATAATAAGGGAAAGAGTTGTATTTAGGTCACCATATAAATCAATGGAAAGTAGGACCATAAGTTGATAGGACCTCCTACCCTTTTTACACCGACATTTGGAGGATGTTTTGTAAAATAGCCATAAAATTGTGGTCATTTGAAATAAACCAATGACACTTGATAAAATGAATAAACATTGAACGAGGTTAAATTATGTCAAAAATTAATTTAAAACCATGTTGGATGAGTTATTAACATTTGTTTGGGCTACCTTTTCTTGGCTCATCCTGGAACGAGACGAAGTCGAGTGCCAATACAGAATATCGAGACAGAATTAATCCTGTATTGCACTTTCTAATCATTCTATAACGTTGTTACCGTCTGATCCTCTGTATTGCTACTGAGAATGTCCCCTCCGTACCAATATTTTCTGTATTGCGACGGAGATGATCAATGAGGACAATCTCAGTAGCAATACAGATTGGTACAGCACAAGAACTGACCAATCAGAATGCTTCATTTTACAGACCATGCGATAAAGAAAGATGTATATCATATTTGGAATGGGCTATGTGTACCTGAAACAAGCATGGGACTTCAATGAGAAAGACACAATGCCTAAATTCTGAATACAAGGAACTACCTTAAAACATCCGTTGGATATCATCTGGCTCGAATCTTCATTTTGAACAGATCAACTATACATACCCTGCGTCACGGTCCACATCCCGCTCCGTATGATATGGTCCGTTCGTGTGCTAGAATACGATCCCTTCGTGAGACAAAGAGGCCAAAATTGACAAAATGTCAGGAAAAAGTAGGAAACAGCGAATTTTGATATTTTGTGGTTGGTTAACTATAGGCAACATAATTACCTATGAATTCATGAAGAAAGCAAGAAAAAAATATCAAGGCTTCATAGGTGAAAATAGGTCGAACATAGACTTTTCACGACAGAATACACTTCAATTGCAATAATTCTTTTATATTACGGTATACATATCTAATTTCGTGCAATTTATAAAGTACATGCATTAATGCGTGCGACTGATAAACAAACATGACGTAATACATCACAAAAGTACATGAAAATGTGGTTTAAAACTCGAATAGAAGGATCCGACCCTACCACAGCTAGGATTCGACCAAGTCGTGTGAGGATAATTTGGGGACTCCGACCATGTCCTGTTAATAGTTCCATCTTTTCGTGTTCTTTGCACGACTAATTAATGCCCCAGTGCTAAGATTGATCTCTGAATGGAATAGGTTATCTCCAGTCGATTCCCACCATCTCTTTGTTCAAAAGTAAAATCAAAAACAAATCTTGAAAGTTTAATGACTTCAATACAACTTCTAAACTCAATCTTTCTCGAAAACAAGAAATTACCTTGAACAGACTAGAATTAGATGCGGACTCTAATTTGAATCACAAAAGATTGCTCATGATTTCCCTAATGCAGCTAATCTAATTGTCTGTGGTAAGAGTACAACTCCTAAACACTCGATTCTGCAATGTAAGCGCCATTCAACCCAAAGAAAAAACCTTTAAGAAACCCTTGAGCAGCAAAATCTTGAGACCCATCTAATTGAACAAGATAAAACTGAATTTTTAATTTTCAAAAACTCATTTTCAATTGAACAGGATTCTCGATTAAAAGGAAGGCTCGTTGATTTTATTCTTAGCTTGGCCTAACCCATTTTATTCTTTTCACCATTAAGTCAGCACAATTGTATGTATAACTCACTCAATTAATTTGATTTATGTTCATTCCAAAACGCTAGCCTGTAATGCACATTGCGCTAGGCAGCGACCTGTGTAACTTTTTTACTGCAATATAATTTGAAATAAATGTATAATGAACTGAAAAAATCTTTTCGTGTGAAAAAATTCGACCAATTCGTGTTTTACGTATACAAAAAAATATATTCAAATTGGCATGCATATATACGATCATTGTATCATATAATTTATTTTTGTATATGCCATCCGTTTCAACATGAACTGGTCTGCTTGGACGACTGGATAATTCATGAGAATAAGTTGGCTTTTGGGGTGTGGATGTCGATGGTAGTTCATTTTTATTTTCGTCTAAATAAGTGTCCGTTTCATTCTGTATCGGCACTTTTAACGACATCTAGAAAAGATAAACAACCATAACTAGCTATTGAGCTTTAATACACTGACTCTAGTGTAATAGATATATTAACTTCCATGGATTTAGTATTGTAACTTTAAAATATGTTCATGGTATTTATTGGTTCAAAACACGACAATATGGAGCTCAAAACACGGTAGGGTCGGAAATGAAACACGGTAGGATCGTAAGAGAAACGCGCGTGGGTCGGATCCATTCTAAACATTTAACCTGCAGAGTCGGATCCTCTTCTAATTTGCTTTTGACCATTTTAAAATCAGTATATACCAAGAAACATTCAATTGGCGTTATTTCATCGATCAATATACAAAGGCTTCATTTGATTTACATAATATACCACAAAGTAGTATATTTGACACGTAAATGACGATAAGGAAGCAGAAACTCACTCTCTCCGCATGTATGTCGTCACCACAAATAAATCCAATGTTTTTGAGCATTCAAATACTTAGACAACTTTTTTCAATTTAATATTCATATATTTATCAATTTAAATCGCGCAGTATAAATGTAAACTCAAAGAATACTCTAATAATAAAACTCACCTCCGAATTTCCTCCCTATAGAGGCGGTATGGTCGGATCTTGTGCACACGAACGGACCATATCATACGGAGCGGGATGTGGACCGTACACTCTGCCTAGTAGAGACCATATTACAGTTTAGTAGCCCCGCCCCCACGACGGGTACCGGTGTAAAAGTATTTCTGGTCCTACCTAAATATGGTCCTACGGACCATTATCCCTAGTAAAGATGGTCCGATGGACCTAATCTCCTGGGGAATACAGTCCCACCTGCTAGAGTAGGTGGTCCCAATCGGACCAAAATCCCTAGGGTTATTGGTCCTGGACCTAAATTCCTGGGGAAATTGGTCCTACGTATACGGCTTTTTTCAAGGAATTAATATTCACTTTGGAAACGGGTTATATTATTTAATATCTAATGAATAGAAAACGATTGAAGATGTATATCTTGTCAACTATTTTATTCTGTTATGCGTATACATGTCATTCCACAAGTTGTCTGAAGTTTTTGTGTGATAACAATGAGCTGTGTGGTGTTTTTGTGCGATGACCATGAGCTGTGTGGTGTTTTTGTGCGATGACCATGAGCTGTGTGATGTTTTTGTGCGATGACCATGAGCTGCGTGGTGTTTTTGTGCGATGACCATGAGCTGTGTGGTGTTTTTGTGTGATGACCATGAGCTGTGTGGGGTTTTTGTGCGATGAACAGCATGAAATCTATTCAAAATGTAGCATATAACTAGCTAGCATAGTAATTTCCTAAAAAGATTCATTGAGTAGGTTACTTAATCCATTACAAATACCGAGAATACCAGACCAGAATACAACTTTTGACTTTGACATTTAAATGAAAGAATTAATAAAAAAAATCGAGCAAGAAATGAAAAGGCAAATTTAGCAATTATTTTAGATGTACTGGAATAGGACTCGAACTTTGTACCTGGCAGAATGAATGAAACACAATGGAAATACAATCATAACAAGTACATACAATAACATATACATAAGCTATTAAGTCCAACGCCTTACCAACTGAGCTACACTGCAAACGATGCTGACCAACCAAATCGATGTGTCTATAAACTTAATCACCCGCTTAAAGGGACCACCTACTCTTTTACTGGTGTGAAAGAAATTATGGTCCTACTCTAGTAAATGGTCCTACCCTCTATATGATATTTTAGGACTATTTTCCCTAGGGATTGTGGTCCAACAACAAGCTTAAATTATGGTCCGACTAGGACCACCTACCCTAGGTTCCTAGGGTAGATGGTCCTACAGACCTAAATCCCCATGGGACCATAATTTCTTTTACACCGGTTACAGTTTGGGTAAATCACTTTTGACCTACGCGCTGACCTTCCACCAATCAGCGAGCTTGAAGAAACATACGCCAAAAGTATTCTAATTAAATATGCGCATGTCATTGGTCAATTCCGGGCACAACGATGACGTCAGAAGGATTGACCATATAAAGAACGTCGGTCAAATTTGGCCGACGAACACTGATTGGCGCGGTGAGTTCACAGGTTTATTTTAGTTTGAAAGAGTGAAGACGGAGCTCTCTTTTAAGAAGTGAAGTCAAACGAATGCAAAGGGTAAACTATACATCATTGACATAATAGATGTTATATTCTTGTTAGATAATTTTCAAACATCATTTTAATTTACACATACA